GATCTCTTGCAGTCTGTTAGCCACTGTTTATAAGTACTGTCTTATCAGCTTCATTTACCACTTGAAATGCACCAGCAACAGCCATAGTCTAACTAGTACAGCTGTTACTTTGTCAACTCTTGTAGTGATGTTTTCAGCAATATTTCCTAGGAACCTTCACTTTCCAGAACGTCTGGTTCTAGACCAGTGATCTAATATTTGTAGGTATCATCGCTTTCGACCTTCCACGTGTTCATACCTTCTTTCCCTTAAATCTTCAGATATTTGCTTTCTTTGTATTTTTGTATTCTTCGTCTTTTGTGGTGCTCAGAAGCCCATGAATCTTCATCATCATTATCCTCTTTTAACGACCCTATAATCCCTTGTGGGGTGGAGCAACTGAATGGAGCTGAGTGCTTACTGACCGGATGCCCTTCTTGTTGTCAATGTGGAGTTTTTTCAGCAGATATATTCGTAGTGTGCTCAGAGAGAGAAATATCTGCCTCTACCTAGGATCGAACTCACAGCCTCCTGATTGTGAGGTGAGAGCTCCACCTGTAGGCCACCACACCTCTCCTCAGGAACCCATGAATATGGTAGATTATTTCATTTCTCCCCCCCCCCCCTCTTGTCCTTCCCATTTGATTGTTCACTCTGTTTCTTTGTGTGACTTATTTAGGGAGGACTCCTGCTCCCTTCTAGTTCTGGGGAATCAGTGTTTACTCAGGAAGTTTGCCTTCCCCTTGGTGCCTTTTGCCCATCCGCATCTGGCAATGCTTCCCGTTGCTCCCTCTTATTCAACGTGATGTTGTGACGTTGCAGCCCACAATTCTCCAGGGATCCCGTTTAACAGCTCTAACCCATTAAATCTACTTTTCACCTCTGCGTTATCACTGTGAATTCTGTAAAGGTCAGAACTTGCTGATCGAGTGATTTTCCTTTTTGCTGTTTCAGTCTATTTTTACCAGGAGGTGTTTGTGATCTGAGCCAAAGGCAGCCTTCGGACGTCTATTGCTTGACTGAGTAGAGGGTCTCTATCATTGCTTGAGAGCAAATGATCAGTCTGATTTCAGTGTGATATCTGTCCAGGGCTACTTATTCACAGGGCCATCTTATTCTTAGGCAATTGGACAGTGATCATATTTATCACCAACACTGGATTTTCTTGGCCGAATGCTCTTAATGGGTCAGCCGTTTCATTTTCCCACAATACCAGAAACAGTTTCCTTTCCAGGCTCCTCTCGTTCACTTGGTACTCTGTCAACTGGCTCTTGAAACCACTTCAGAAGAGTCCAACTTCTCCTTCCTCTGTGATTGCAGCCGAGATTCAGGTTGCCCTGATATTGACTAGTTTCTCTTGGAAATGCCAAGATTGGTGCCCACATTTTGCTTTCTTCCCTCTGCTGTGATGCAATCACTTCTTGGATTTTAATTTTAATTCTTCATCTCATTTCGTTTCATCTCAGAGACTGGGCCAGGTGGCCAATCAGAGTGTTTCTTCAGAGGATGCCAGATTGATTCCATTACTACTCAAGGACCCCATAAAATAACTGGGAAATGTTTTGATGGCCATACTGCAAAAAAGATGTTGAGACTTTGGAAAAAGTTCAGAGAAGAGCAACTAAGATGATCAAAGGCCTGGAGACTAAACCACACGAAGAACGGCTGCCGATTTTAGATCTGGCTACTCTAAAGAAAAGAAAAATTAAGGGCAACATGATAGCAGTATTCCAGTGTTGGAGGGGCTGCTACAAAGAAAAGGGGGTCAAATTAATCTCCAAAGCATCAGAGGGCAGGACAAGAAATCATGGTTGGAAACTGATCAAAGAGAGAAGCAACCCAGAATTAAGGAGCAACTTCCTAACAGTGAGGACAATTAACCAGTGGAACTGCTTGCCTTCAGAAATTGTGGGTGCTCCATTCAGAGTGGTACTCAGCAGGTTCTGACCAGTTCTGGAGAACCGGTAGTGGAAATTTTGAGTAGTTCAGAATACCCCCTCTGACTGGCCCCTCCCACATCTATTCTCTGCCTCCCATTGAGTCCCAGCTGATCCCAGGCTAGGTCTCCTTTTGTTGCCCTGCTCAGGAGAACCGAGCTGGAAAGCAGGTTAGTGGGCTGGGGAGGGAATGGGGATTTTACAGTATCCTTCCCCTGCCACGCTCACCAAGCCACACAAACCTAGCCACACCACGCCCACCGAGCCACGCCCACAGAATCGGTAGTACATTTTTTTGAATCCCACCACTGGCTCCATCACTGGAGGTTGAGCAGGGGACTGGACTAGCAGACCTCCACGATCCCTTCCAGCTCTATTCTAGTCTAGATATTTGTGATTTCATCTTCAGGAAGAAGAGCAGCATTTGAATGGGGATTTTTGGACTCGAGGGCCAGAATGACTTGACCAGATTCTTGATATCTCCTTCAGCTGCCCTCCATCATGACTGCTCCAGCCTCACTTCCTGCCAAGCGTTCACAAAGCTCTTAGGCCTACAGCCTCAGGATCCCATCATCTTCATCTCCTCACTGACCGGACCGGCCTTCTTGGCTTAAAGCTGTCAGATCTGATGAAGCAAATTCATCTGCCTTTGGGAGAGGTTGCCTGTTGCATCTCTGTGTGAACTACTTATGACCTGGTTTGGCTAGTTCCCTTTCTGCTTATGGATCACAGTGAGGATAGCAATTGATGCAGAAAAACAACTGTTTTCTTTTCTGGGTTACATCCTCAGTGTTTGGCATTTATCATGGTGTCATGATCAAAGTCAGCTCAAATAATTATGACACAACAAGAAAACAGAAACTTGACTGTTTAGCAACATCTGAATAATTCTTTTTTCAACAGACGGTTCAAGAAAAGGACTTTTGAGCAATCCTGCAAAATCCGAAGCATGTTTCTCTTTTATTTCATTTTTCTTGAATGTTAAACTGTAGGTGAACTTTTAACACTGTTAATTGAAACCATGTTGCCTGATTTAGCATTCGTAAGACATTGGGAAAAAAGAATTCAACATTTATATTTCTGTTTGTAGGTTCTGCTACTAATATTATTATGTTTCTCTAAAAAGGAAAAAGAAAGAAAACCAAAAGACCTGTTTTGTAAGCAGATAATTCTTCCAAACTCTAAAAATTGGCTCTGAAAATGAGATTACTTAACTCAGCAAAGTGCAACTCTAGTAACCGACATTTGAAAAACTGAATTAAAATTATGCACAAGCCAGAAAGGAAGGAAACTTGCTGAAAGCAACATTTGGTGGTGGTGGCGATACCAGCAGCAAAATTCTCACATGAAAACCAAATTCCATAATTTTAAAATGAGCTTTTCCTTTAACAATTCTGCCCCCTCGGTGCTGCGTAGGAAGAGGGGGGGGGAGCCCCCTCCCCCCATCACAAATGAGTTTCTCTGTCCAAAGGAAACGAAGCCGAATTTGGAAGCAGCCCAAGTATGTGAACACTGAGGAGAGCATTAAGTTAATATAAATAGTTTCTCTTTTGCAAACTGAACTCCAGCAGATGATATTGGATGACTATAAATTTTATGGCAGAGCACATTTAATAATACGTGTGTGTGTGTGTGTGTGTGTGTGTGTGAGAGAGAGAGAGAGAGAGAGAGAGAGATGGGGAAAGAGAGAGACGGAGCGCAAGATTCAGAATCGACACCATGTCCAAACACAGAGTACAACGCTCTGGCAAGCTTTAGCGAGGCCCATAAATTCCTCCGGCAGAGGCTGAACCAGGGGTCCCGCAGCTGGGTCACCGAACACACATCCAGGCAGTTGGGTCATAAAACACCGATTATTCCATCCTGCTGATGGAAGCCCAGAGGGATAAAACTATATTTGCCAGCCAGGCCATGTTATTAAGACTTGTTTCAAAAGCAAGAATAGGTCCAAACACTTTTGCCTTGCTTCCTCAAAGAACTGAAGGACCGCATCACCCTCAAAATCGCATTTCTAAATGTCCCCCCACCCAGCTCTATAAAAGGCAGACAATACATCACCGTCACTGAAATAAATTAGGGCCCCCTCCTCCCCCTGCCAACATGGCTGATAATAATGAAAGCTTCTATGCGGCTACTGACTGAGCGAGACGGATCAGAGTCATTCCTGGGTCTGGTATGTTGCTGTATTCAGTTCTGCTGAGTTCTTGAATTCCATTTCAGCTCCCCGAATATATAAACTGCAACCCCACAAAAAGGATAAACAGATCAAACCAGTTGATTGCAAAGTTTCGCACAGCTGAGTTAAGGACATTTGTTATATCGTTGTAAAACAGCACAATTTTTGTGTAGAGTTACACAGAAATGAGACCCATATTATGGCTAGAATCCCAGCCCATGTGGACAATCCACTGGGCTAATGCAGGCAACAGATTTCCTAAAAAGACCAAAATAAAACTTCAAATGAAAAATTCAGTAAAGAGCAGGTGGTTGGAGAGAAGCAGAAGTAAAGCAATGGTTTGCAAAACGCCTGCTGCGTTCTCCTCGTGGAAAGCTCTGATGATGTTATCTAGTTGGGTGATGAAACGTCTGCCAAAAAAAAAAGCCAGCCAAGCTCAGAGAGCACCAAGGGGCCTTCAAGCTAGGAAGGTCTCATCAGCTCCCTTCGAGAGGAACGCCCTTTGGCAATGCACAACCCACCGCTCTGAGCACCCCCTTCCTTGTTCCTTGGGTTGGGTGCCCCCAGTCAAGGCAGAGGGCGCTGCTTAGCCCCATTCCTCCTTAGCTACGGTAACAAGACCTAGCGACCGGTGTGGGTGTGGGTGTGTGTTGCTTTCACAAATACTGTCAGCAAATATATTCTTAACACTACAGCCCGCAACAATAGCACCATTTATTCTTCTTAATTTCAAATTCCAAAGGACACAGGCATTACGATATTCCATTTTATTCTTTTATCTGCTATTTTGTGCTTTTAACCCTTGAGCATTTTTGACATAAAGTTGCTTTGAGCTATAGAAAACAGATGCCAGAAAATATGCATTAAAACATCCCACTTAATCATTTCCAGTCCCACGAATTACTTACCTCATCTCCAATCACAAGTTCTTCCCTGGGACTGTGGAAAAGATATTTGTACAGTGTATAATGTTGGAATAAACTGAAAGGCAAGAAAATGGACGATAATTTTTTAAGAGCATCCAGGACTCATGTTGCTTCTAAGGAGGTTGTTCAACCACACAACCTAAGACCCTAAAGCTCTAGCTAAATTTCATAATCCAAAACCCGTTTTTTTTTCTCTCGTTCACTGTTATAAAATCCTGCAGTGAGGGTAACAATTCCCACTAAATGCAGAACTAAACTTGCCACAAAGTTGTACAGCTGTGATTTCTGATCTGCTTCACAAAGCTGTTGTGGTGGAGGAAAGCAAGACGCCCCATCACCTTGGAGGGAAGGAAGAAGAGTAAATGCATTGTAGTGAGAAATGGTGAGCACTCTGAAGGGAGCAGGGCCATTTGCAAGGCACCAAGACATCAGAAGTTGACTTCCCTTTGTCAGTCAGGTTCTGCTGGCCCTGATGGATCTGGGTTGATCCCATCAGGGTGGCCTTGGGATCTGGGATTTCTGCAGGGGGAGAGGGGAAAGAATGCTAACTGATGACTGCCCTTCTTCCCTCTAAACCCAGATTCATTGTCCAGCTAAGACACAAGATGGCTTGTGTTGTGGCCCGCCAGTGGCCAGCAGAGCTGGCAGCAGATTCGGACAGCGAGGATGTTGGGGAGGAGCATGGGCCAGTCCTGGGGTCTGGGGAAGGCTCTCATGAGTGCTCTGCATCCAAGGCAGAGATGGGGCCAGGGCCGTCTGACAGTTAACAGCTGCCTTCAGAGTTGGACATCAGTGAGGAAGAAGAACAGCTGGAACCTGTTCCCAGTGTGTGCATGCACAGAGCAGCTAGGAGAAGGGAACAGCTAAGGAACAAGGGTCGACTTGGGAGTAAAGCCACAGGTGAATGGCCCCTCCCACAGGGAATAAAAGAGGAGCGGAAGGGGAGTGGAGTTTTGCAGGAGACAATTAGTTCATTTGGGTGAAGATCTGTTCCTGCATTCTTATCAAGTATTGTCTGCTACAGTGTGGCATCTGAAAGATATCGTCCTAGAAACTCTCCAAGCCTGATAAAGGTCGGTAATTGTGAAATATCTTGAAAGACTGTTGGCCGGGACTTTGCTGGAGAGGAATTCACTGCAAACTAAATAAAAGGGGTTTATCAGGACAAGAAGTTAGCTCCGTGCTGCTGGGGAAGCCTAGGTCAGAACAGCTTGGGCAACACTTGGGTTTCTCCTGGTCTGAACAGATTTTCCCTTTTTTGTCAGACATGGAATCCACTTGACATGCATTCTGGCTGCTATTGAGGGAGAGACTTTTGGCATAACATGACAAAGCATTACAGATGTGAACGAAACAAGACAGGCCTTTTCATGACAGCCATGGAAGCATCTGAAAGCGATTAATACAGATGGACATTCCTCCTCTGATTGTTTCCTGTAGGGAATATGTCCTCAAAGAAGCTGATGTCAGGGTTGGTGCAGCTGATACAATGGGAACCAGGTAGGGGGAGGGAAGGGGGAGGGGAGAAGGGAAAGTTACCAATCACCTGCCCTCCCCTGCCTTGGAAACAGGGCATTTTTCTCTCTCTTTTCCTTGCAAAAGAAAAAAAAATATCCACCAAAATTAAAGGAAGAAATTCTGAATATTCTTGGGGGGAAACCGCCCCCCCAACTCCATCACTGGAAACAGATCAAGAAATCTCCCTTTTGAGGAATCCGGCTATTTCTGCGAAAGCAAAGGTGTCCTCTAAGAGCGGAAGAAGAAGCCAAGCAAGCTGAAATGCCCTCTCCATTTTCAAAGCTCCCAAAGGTTGGGAAGCAGATTCTTCTTCAGTTCATTTTCTGAAATTGGCTTCTGCTCTGAAAATGGGCTGAAAATTCCAGAGATCTGGGCTTCTCTATTCTTCTATTTAAAAGCCAAAACAAACATCTCCACTTGTCCAAGGCAAAGGGCAAGGAAGGGCCTTTCAATTCTGTTGGGGTCTTCCAGGAAGCATCCAACTTGGGCCATCTAGCTCAGGGCTCTCCAACCTTGGCAACTTTAAACCTAGAGGACTTCTGGGAGTTGTAGTCCTCCAGACTTAAAGTTGCAAAATTGGAGACCCCGGCTTTAAGGTCCTACCTGATACACTCAAGTGTACACTCATTCCTGATAGCTGCGTGAGACTGTGGTTAGCTTCCAGGTGAGATTCAAGGTGCTGTGGCACCCTTTAAAGGCAGGGCTCTCCTACCTTGGCAACTTTAAGCCTGGTGGACTTCAACTCCCAGAATTCCCCAGCCAGCTGACCCCCCCCCCCTCCACCCTCAAGGAGGAGAAACCAAAGGGGACTTTCCTTCTCTAGGCAAACATTAAAGGCATTGGTTTCACAGTATAAACCCAAATGGGCTCCCTCAAAATATCTTGCTAGAAGGTGTCATGTTTGCATGTTAGGGTAAGGCATATGAACATTTAATCACTTGTTCAATTTATTAAAACCCTAATGATTAATTGATTAATTCATCCATTACCCAGTGAAGGCTGTCTAAGTTTCATATTACGAGAATTAGTGCCATCAATTTAGCAACCAATCATCCATTTTTCTTTTGTTAGTGTTAATTCCTTGGGGGTTCAAAGCAGCACCAACAGTCGGAACCCAAACCTGACTATTCATGAAAACAACCCAAGGGACCCTTCACCAACTTCACAGCCCAACAAGTACTGAATGGCCACCTCCCCCCTAGCAGTGCTGAAGGATGAGGAAGCCCTACCTGCTCTTCACATAATTGATGATGGCTTTGGCTTGATCGATGGTGAAGAACTCAAACCCGCCACTTATCTCTGAATTGCTCAGCCCGATGCCAGCCATGGCGCTGGCTAGTTCCTGGATGTTCTCTTCCAGGCTCATGTGATAGGCTGCAATGCAAAGGGAAAGACGAGTGAGCATCTGTGGTTCAATGTGGCTGCCTACGCAAAGAGTTCTCCTGACTCCAGCAAACCCACTCCGAAGATAAGCCTCCACTCAGGCATTGGCTTCCACACGTCTGGATCATGTGAAAACGTAACGCTTACGCTGAGATTCATCTAATGTCCAATCTTTGCCTCAATAGTTGCCTCAATCGTGTGAAAAGATGATTATCTTCATCCCATTAGTGTTATAGCAAAGGAAATCTCCCGTTTGATGCTGGGTCCAGGTAAGAATGCCCCCAAAAACTCCCCCAGCCCAACCAAAGATCAAGTCAGTGACCAATCAGGATTACAGATGTGACCATGTGACATGAGCTACATCTTCCATGAGGTATTAACTACATTTCCCATGAAGCATTCCCTTAAGGGGGTAGCTCTCATTCCTAAACTAACTATATACTGTCTAAGCAGCACACACATATTGAAGAAAAGGCTTTGCACACGTAACACACGCATAAAGTGATAGAGGAGGGTATGGCTTATCTGGGAAATGCTCCCAAGCACGCTGGTGTTCTGATCAAGGGCTTCCTGAGATAGTAACAATCACAACAGCTGGGACATTCCTATGATTACCCCCAAGTCTGTGTTTCCCCCGACTGAGGCTCCGAGGAGGAAATCAGCTCCTGAGAAAAGGAGGAGCAGATCTGGGCAAAGCTGGAACCAGGAGAGGGTTATTTTCTGGAGAAAACTGGAGAGGCTGTGCTGGCCAAGGGGTGTAAGACTTGCCCTGCCTCTGAACTAACTGCCGGTCTGCTAAGCTCTGCATTTCCTCCCTGGTGGACTCAGCATGAGAGTTCCACTGAAACCATGCAGGGCCCTAGAAGTCAAAACGTTACTGGACTCAAAACAGTTTCCATTGAACCACCATTTGTCTGGGTTGATCTGAGTGTCCTTGCACTAGGGAGGGGGATGGACTGGAGAACTTCCAAGACCTCTTCCAACTCCTAAGATTCTACGATGGGGACAAGTCTACACAGGGGACATTTAATCTTTGACTGCACATCCTTCCCGAGAATTTCATAGAACTTCTCAGTCCTTGGTATCTCCACAGGTGGATGCTCTGGAGGCCGAATGTTCTCACGATAGTCAATCTGCTGTGGTGGCCCAGTTGGAGGGCCAGGAAGGCAGGCTTTGGTGGCAAAGGGCCTGAAAGGAGCCTCTTTCCTCCTGCGCCCATCGGAAAGTTCTCCTCCCTACAGGCTGTGGGGTGAAGGCCTGCCCTGGACCACCTCCAAGTAGGTCGGGAGATGTTAGATCTAACGCAGCAGCCTGACCTCAGCCAAGAGTCCAGAAGCCAATTTTTAATTGCTTGGATTTGTCCATTCAGTTTACATGGATATATACAATGGCGATGTAAGATGATGTTTTAGTAAATCAATTTTAAAGTAAATTCTCAGGATAGAAAGCAGATGTGCACAACCAGAGATGCTCAAGTTCTTTCCTCTAATGGGCACACAGTGATCTTCTTTGAATCTTAAGCGTTTCAGCATCTACCAAAAGATATTTTAATCCCTCCTGGTTGGTCAGATAGATTAGAAGATGCAACGCGATAGAGCCACAACCCCCTTTCCCTGCTGGCTGTTGCAGATGCTCTGACACTTTCCATTACATTGCAGATAAGGCTGAGATTCCTATATCAACAAAGTTATACAAATGTCACTTTTAAAATATAGCTAACGTAGACTGTAATATAGCCCTTTTTGAAAAAACACACACCAAATTTTCCATCCATGGTTCCAGATGGGCTTTTCTGCAAAAGATAAACACTCCAAATAAACCCTGAAATGCTTTTCAGTTCCAGTGCCAAAGTCCCTTCTCACAAATTTCTTCCTAGGTTAGACAACTCTTTCTTCTAAAAAGAAAGATTGTTTTCCCCATCAAGCGATGCCAAGCTGCCTTTGTCGAAAGGCTTGGCTGATTCTCGTCCTGCAATTCTGGCTTTGTTTTTGCTCGAATCCCAGGAGAGAAATCAACACGCCTGGCATTTGCCAAGCATGAGTGCAAACAGAGCACTTGCTGATGGGTAGGTATTGCTCTCCTGGGCAGGCGAGGGTGTCCAGGGAGGGTGTTCCATGGCTTCAGAAGCTGCATGGCTCTGTTAAGAATCTCTATCTGTTTGAGTCTGAAATATACTTGGTGTAGATGTGAGCAACTTCTGAGGACTCAAAAGGCTCCTATTTAAACCCCTCATTTCCCAGGAGGGGGCAATGGTGGAAGCTGGCTTTGAGGACAGGCCTATTTATTTATTTAGTGTGGTTGCAGACCACTCCCATTGTTACAAATACAAAAAGGGGAGGCGGGTGGGAACTTCTGCCACGCACCCCCATGACAGGGAAAAATCACATGGAGCCCAAGAGCCACAATCTATTTCTAGAGTTTGTTGCCATAAACAGCTTTGAAGTGTTTTGGCATAGAAAATGGTGTACAAATGCAAGGAATAAATAAACATATTATCCGTTCAATAACAGCAACTAGTGAATTCAGGGTAAAATCACAATTTTGTGGGGACCAGGGACATTCCCAAATAATGGCCCCTAATATTCTTATATACAGTAATCCAGTGGAGAATGGGTACACTCACAGGATGCGGCTGAACTTACTCTCCAGATTATCCAGCAATAAATTGAGAAGAGTCAGGAATCCTCCAATCTGCACAGATGAGAACTCTAATCCTTTGGCCCACCAAAATCCAGAGACATAATAATCCAGTAATGCAGCTTCTGTCAAAGATGTCAATCGATGCTTCAGATTCAGAAACTCTTCCAAACTCCTGTAGTTGAAAAATATCAGAACACAAAAGTACACCTGTCTGTGTAATTGTGCCAATTTACTTTCAATGGGGCAAATTTTGCAAACCCAGGAATGAGCACAAATCGATGGGTCTCCAAAATCTTGGACCAAAACCAGTGTCAGAAACTTTACCATTTAAGTTTAAGTTGCTTCTGGAGGACCATATCTCCCCACATGGATTTTCTGACTTACATACTGATAGGAACGTGACATTTTTTGAAAATATTTTAATACCGCAGCTAGGCAGAGTCAATGTCTAAAACTAAATCTGCACTGTATTTGTACTAAAAACTAAATATTTTAAAAAAACGATACTAATGACATTCACAGCTTATGGATTAGAGAACTTGAGCATCTGATAAATGGTCGCAAGTCTTAAAAATGTAAAATTTGTTTCACTGGATTTAAAATTAAAACTGATTCACATTTTATTATGAGTTAACTGACCAAGAAAATATTTGGAAGATTAGACGGTGCAAATAAAAGAGGCCTTGTTTGCATTGCTCCTCCTGAGCATCATTTAGATCAGCGGTCTCCAACCTTGGCAACTTTAAGCCTGCAGAACTTCAACTCCCAGAATTCTGGGAGTTGAAGTCTTCCAGGCTTAAAGTTGCCAAGGTTGGAGACCCCTGATTTAGATGGGATCACATGATGGTCTCCTCTCAAGACCCCCAACCACGACCTGGGCCTCTGAGACTGACTTGGAAACCGCTGGGGAGGGCCACAATCTGTGGCATGTTGAGGAATGTGACTTTGTCCCTGGAGTGAAGAATGACACCCACAGAAGCTCCATTTCTCTTTAAAAGGGAAGAACACCCCCCCCCAAGAGCCCAAGTCACAGGGCTCCCCTGACACACAGACACACTCCCTCTGCAAACCAACTGCCTGCTGTCTTGACAGAGGATGGCAAGGGCAAACTCTGTCGATGTCCCAATCAAACTTACTTCTCAACTCCTGCGATATCCTGTTCCAGCATAATGCTGATCTCAGCAAGCGATAGAAATTTCCAAGCCATTTCTTCTTCATCTCTATTAATTCTGTCATCATCCTACAGAGCAAAACAATGAATTACAGAACAATAGCACCCACACATAAGCAGTACATTCAACCACAAGGATTTTTTTAAAAATTAGTGCATAAAGAAAAACAATGGCAACTGTCCACACCAATTTAGCTGATTTACAACAGGATCAGGAACAGACAGATAATAGCAGAATTAATTGGCCTTGCATTTAACAAATGGTTTTTTTTTTTAAAGACAATTTTCAATGCAGCAAAGCAGAAATTCTTATTTTTGCTAGGTCACCACTGGCCCGTGAGCAAATTTGAAACACACCCTGCAGGCCTCGGATAGACCTTTGGCAAAAGCTGTTGTTCCTCCTGCAATCAGCAAATGGGGATGGAAAGGGGTACCTGGAAAAAACGACAAAAAGGCCCCAAATTACAAAAAAGGCAAGCATTCCGTTATTGTAGTTTTGGTATCATTTTTGGTCACTTTTAGGAAAATTCTATCCATGCCTCTCAATATATGAGAATCAAAACAGGGATGTGGTTTTGCAGCAGGAATTTGTTTGTTTGTGTTTGTTCACTGATTTATTTATCAATCAACCAATTCATCCCTCCATCCCTCCTCTCCCACCCAAATCTGTGGGCAGCCCACCTGGCCAAAGGACATGGGGCCAAGGCCCAGGGCAGCCACGGGAAGACCAGACCGACCGCCCTCAAAAAGGCCACGGAAGACATGAAGTGGAAGGGGGGCAGGGGCCTCTATGCCCTTTTAGGCCACTCCACAATGCCAGCCTCGCAGGAGCCTATCGTTGCCACACTGCAAGGCTGCTGCTCAAGTCCAACCAGACCCGGATCCCTTGTGCAGCTGCTGCCATTTCTCCTGCCCTCCCTCCCCCCACCCCAAGTGGCGAATCCAGCCCTTCCTCCTCCTCCTCCTCCTCCTCCTCCCAGCCCTTGGAGAAATTCGAGGGAGAAGCGCCTGTCCCCCGAGAAGGTCCCCCCGCAGGACCCTCGATGCTCTCATCGAGTCCCCGGGAACTCGACACCAAACTCCACTCGGGGACCAAACGGCGACCCCGCCAGCAACACCCCCCCCCCTCAACCCAACCCGGCGCTTTGGCGGGAGGCCTTGCGGGAACCTCCCCGGGCGAGGAGAGCGGCGGCTCTGGCCGGCTGCCTTCGAGCCCCCGGGACCTTGCGGCGCCGTCCCCTCATCCGGAGGCTGCCCGGGAAGCGGGGCTTGTACCTGCAGCATTGACACCACGCTTCCCCGTTCTCGGTCCGCCGCCGCTGCTGCCCTGGTCGCCATGTCGCCGCTCGGTTGCCAGGCAACCGGGCCACGCGGCCGGCGCCGGGTCCGCCTCGCCACCCCCTTGCAGACCGGACAGGCGGACTAGGGCCAAGCGAGAGGTGGGTGGATAAGTGTCCGGGGCCCGGGGCTCTCTTAGTATCCCTGGCGGGTAGGGAGGGCCAGCTCTGCCTTCTCTCTCTCTCCTTAAGGGTCCCGAGCCTCTTTTGCAACCCCCCCCCCACTCCCGTTTGTGGGCTCTGCCACCTCCGTGTGCAAGGCGTCCCGACCCTCAGAAGCTCCAGCCTGGTGCAAAACGTGGCAGCTCACAGATTTGGCGGGTACATCCTGATACACTCAAGTGCTCCCAGAGCTGCGTGGGACGGTGGTTGGCACCCTTTAAAGCAGGGGTCTCCAACCTTGGCAGCTTTAAGACTTGTGGACTTCAACTCCCAGAATTCCTCAGCCAGCTTAAAGTTGCCAGAGTTGGAGACCCCTGATCCAGAGAGAGAAACAACCTAAGAACATTACGAAGAGAATATGACCCAAGCGACCAAGCCCTTCCGACACGTTTGCCTTCCTGAAGAAGACAGTCTACAGTCCTCATCTTCGTAGTCTATCCAGTTCATCTCATGGTCTTCTAAATTCGATATTAGGTGACACCAGGAAGCCTCTTTGTCATCTGAGGATGAACAGGGCAGCTTCAAACTCAAGGGGGCCCCCTACACTCCCCCCACCCCCCAAAAATCACCCTCTCCCAGCATAGGCCAGTGGCAGACAAAAGAGCATCAGGCTGAATTCGGCACTGCTGGCCTTCCCTGAACCCCATTTCCTCAAGTAGACAAGAGAGGAGAGATTTGCTGCTCTAAAAGTCAAAACACACTTAATGAGAGCTTAAAACTCCTCAGTCACTTCTCCTCCTCCTCTTCCTCCTCCTCACATTCCTAAGCATTCCCATTGACTTATGTTTTGATGATCCAACCAGTCAAAAACCACCTAGGATTAGCAAACCACAAATATTTAACTCTGAAAAAGCATTTCTTTTAAGAGTTCTGCTTAACAGTTATCATTCGTATCATATATTGATCTTTTACGGAAATATAAAAAACATATTTTGATAAAGCTTCAGAGATCTATAGATCTAAACGTTATTTGATAGCAGTGGTGGGATGCTACCGGTGTAACAACCTTTAAGGTCCTACCTGGATCCAGAGCAGGTTATCTGAAAGGCCATCTTCTCCCAACTTCAAGGTCTGGAGGAAGAAACTCCAGATCCCATCTATACACCTGACGGGACCCTGAAGTCAGCATTTGCGACCGCTGGTCAACCCGCTTACATGGAAGGAGGGCAGGTGGTGATGGTAGGCTTGGACTTTCGGGGACACCTGCTTCTCATGTGTCTTCTTTTTTGTACGGCTTTGATACTGCATTAGGTTGAATTGATGGGTGGGTAATCCTCTATGACTTTGAGGGAGGGGGGCTTTTGATAGGCAATATTGCTGGTGGTTAGCTGTGTGGATGAGGATCAGAAATCAAGTCAAAGTGAAATAAATAAACCAGTAACGGCTTTGCCGAAAGCCTCCCAGAAGAACGGGCCATGTTCGGGAGCTGCAGAAGGAATGCTGAGCATGTTAGAAAACTCCCCAGCAATCCCATTTAATTCTCCCCATTTTTCTTCCGTCTCACAGCGGACTGTGTCTCTAGCTTAAAATAGCCTCTTTAATTGACAATAATAGATGCCTGTTTAGCAGAGGAGGAAATAACCGCCCCGATGCCGCCATCCGCTGTAAAGTGTTGCAGGAAATTCATATTTTTGTAGACATTTGCAAGGCTTTGGCTTTAGCATCTAACAACCGAGCAAAAGGCTGCAGTTGATTCTGCCAGGCAGCGCCCTCAGCACCCAGACAGCAAAAGGGGCGGAGGTTTGAAATTGGGCCTGTGGAGGGGCTGTTAGAGGGTCTGAGAAGCCTGAGCCTTGTAGAGGAAGAGGAGACCCCACCCTCCAAGTATAAAAGTTGAGCTTTGGATTTAATGCAAAAAACACCTAGAAGAGAGGTGGGACCGGAGGGCCAAAGGAAGAAGGCGAAGGAAACTGCAACCCAGGGAAACTTTTCATAGACTCTTTGGATTGGAACAGGTGTGTCATTTTTTAATGGGGTGAAAATTAATTTTTGCAATATTTTTTAGTGAGGGGCTTCTAAAAATATGTGCTTTTACACCAAGAATTCAAATCTGCTGTTATTTTTTGCAACTGCACGTTTAGCTTGGAATGGTAAATCTGCGACTGATCATATATCCTGCAAATACTGTTAACTTTATCTTGTCAAAATTACAACCTGTGCTACATAAATTAAAAATTTTTTTATGCATGAATCTTATCTAGCCAAGCAAAAAAAAATAATCCATGCGGTCATAAACTAACACCAGAAAGTAATTATCTGAGTTACAAGGACCATTCAAGCAAGTTTCATCAAGTCTTGTTTTGATTCGTTCTTTGACATCAGCCGCCGACTTGCTTCTTGGCCTCTGATATGACCTTTCTCATGTGTCTACCCTCTGCTTGCTGCCTCTGCGACCTGTTTCACACATCTCTCTATTGATCAGTGACTGGGCCACTGTGGTACTTCAATCAATCAGAACAGAGCTGGAAGGGACCTTGGAGGTCTTCTAGTCCAGCCCCCTGCCCAAGCAGGAGACCCTATACCATTTCAGAGAAGTGATTATCCAGTCTCTACTTAAAAACCTCCAGTGATGGAGCACCCACAACTTCTGAAGGCAAGCTGTTCCACTTGCATTGGTTCATCAGTGAATTTCCTTATTTCCACTGCAGTCAGTTTGCAGTCAAAGGTGGCTCATAGACACCTCCTGACCAGTCAATCAGCTCCAGCAGAGTGGATGCTCTGGCGTGAGCTCTACCCAGTGCATGGCACCACCTTCACAGACAGTATTAACATTTGTAGAGTCTCCTCCTTAAAGGCCTTCAAGCTTTTGTCAATGCCTTTCTTCTTTGTGAAATAGGCCAGATTATCTGCCATCACTTGAGCAGTTTTTCCTGTTTCTGAGGCTTTCTCTAGACTGAAATGATAAAAGATATCTTCTACCCAGTTCCACTGCACACAGTAATGTTCTTCTTTGATGGTACTGGGGAATTACCAGTGTGAATTGTTCGCTGGGGAATTGCTGGTCTGGAAAACTATGATATGTATGCAGTTATTTACCAAGCGCATCTAAATCATATTAAAGTAACCAAAATATCTTTACAATCCCCAAGGGCATGTCACAGCTTTTGAGCACGCCTAATGTTTGGAAATGGAAAGTTGAAAAATTAGAGTCCCCACAACCCTCTTATAAACACTTTTAAGAGGAAGATCTAAAAATAAAAGGCAAGAATGGTAGAAAACAAGCAAGGCCCCCATATCTTTACCCTACACATCTCTTGAGAAAGTGAGCAGATGAGGTCTGAGCAAGTGAGGCAGCTTTGATTTGAGTGGATGTGGAGAACTTTAATTTCTGTGGCTTTGCAGCTTCCCTGCAGCCAGATGGGTCCTGGCCAGGGGCATATTGCAGAAGCCTCTTTCCATGTTTGCAGAAGCTTTCTGGGACCCCAGCAGCTGGAGGAAGCTAGCCAAGGATGAGACATTGGAGAGCATTCAGAAGCATCAGCTGGTGCTGTGTTCAGGGGCAGGAGACATCCTGCTTTGCAAAGCCCAAAAGCTTCCAAGGCATTAAATATGGAGTATTTGGAATAAATTCATTGGGAAGTTCAGTTTTAGAATCAATTCTCGGTTCAAGGAATCCATAAGACTGATTGAAATAAAATAAAATAAATGGAAAGCAAGCAAACAACTGGGTTGCAAAAATGCAATTACTGCGAAAACAGTCCCATTTGCCTGATTGAAAGTGCTGTCATGCTGTTATTAAAATATCTTTTGATGGATTGTAAATGGTGCAGATAGTTCATAAAGGAGCACAACAGATTTGTCTTAAGGGGGGAAAAAGGGCTTCATTTTAAAGATGGAAGCAATTGTTTTGATCAGGTGTTGATTGAAATCACTTGTACCAAACAACACATGTTCCTCCTTTTGAAACAGGCGTCTGGATGGGATCTGATTTAGTGCATTTTAGCCATGAGATCCAATTCATCTCTGGGCCAAGAAGACAGGCTAATTGAGATATCCCATAGATATTTTTGAATGCATTATTTTGCTAGCAAAGAAGCTAGTATGTGACAAAAATACTTATTAAAGTTTTGTCAGGAAGGATTTGCATGGAAAGATTTGGAAATATTGTCAGCACAATGTTTGCCCAGAAGGAATCGGATGGGAGACCCAATATATATGTAGGTGGATTGACCAAGTCAACATTATTTTTCTTGTTGCTCATCTTCTATTAAGGCTGATGTCTATTTCCACTGCTCACCAGTTCCATCTTTCTGGAGCTTTGTAGGGCTCCTTTTGCAGGAATTTTCTTGAAATGAGTGTGAAATTGGCTGACAATAAGCACTTTCTTCAAAAACGGTTCTCAATCAGATGCCTGACCTGGCTCCAAAACTGGAGATCCAACTGAGAAAGAGGCTTCCCACTGCCACCTCTGCCTTGACAGAAGCCACTGTAGGGCCCAGCCATTGTTTTCAGTTCAGGCCCTCCAAGAGGCATCCTTTCCTCTTTTTAAGGGAGCTCTTTGAAGCTGTCGAGAGAAACCCGTAGTTGGAACTGATGCTAAGCTGACTGATCGGATGGGATTCTAGCAAAGCTAATACCGCAGCGACGGTAACCCAACTGGACTCATCTAGAGGAAAATATCTCTGCTATTGTAATCTTTCCAGGCCATTAGGCCGCATAATGCAAACCTACCCATTTCTTGAGAAGTGTTAGTCGTTTTAAAAAAGGTTCTTCTGCCGTCTCGGCTGAGAATGAGAAACTCCTTGGTTTTCCCATGCAGCCTTCTACATCAGACCCGGGTGAAATGATTGATCTAAAATATAAACAGGAAACTGCTCAGTCATGACGAGTTATTTCCTAG